TGATAAATTAAGGGAAATCTCTCAAAGTAATTCTCCCTATCTCTGGATATAATAGATTAATAAAAATAATTAATTTAGACACTTCACTAGGTACATGTAAATTGCGATCTTCATTTTAGAAGTTAACAGGTCTTAAGATAGGTCCTATAATTTGCCTATAATTTGTTTGTATACTTTTGTACTTATAAATAGCATCATCAAAATGCCTACTGGGTAATTTTAACTATAACTCATTTGTCTTTCACAGATGAAGGTAAACAGTAATTTTTGTTCCTTTCTAGCTGTGTGGATTCATATGTTGTAACAGGAAGCTGCATTTATGTTGAATGAGATTTGTGGCTAGGGGGAATTCTATGTGGCAGTATGTGTTTTGATTAGGTTTTTCTCCTTAACTATAAATATATCTTTTGCCAGACAACTTTTTGTGCACCAGAAGGAATTTTAGCCCTAATCCATGAAATATAATTAGCCTTGTCTTTCAAGCAAAATTTTCCTAAGACTCATGTGACATCAAAAGTAACAATACAGAGTTATTTCAGAATTCACATAGAAAACTGCTGCTCCTTCCATGTTGTATCATGAATTCTTTGTTCATGTTATTTTTAAGACATTTAATACATTGTAAAGATGTCAGTTCACAACATGTTAGTCTCTTAAAAGCTCGTGATTATGCTAGTGTTTATTTTCTTTATTATTGCCTTTATTACAAACAAGTTCAAGACTATTACAAGTGTTAAAAAGAAAAGGGCAATTAAGTAATGGAAAGACACAGGGGAAACTTAAATGCATAATACTTAAGTGAAACAAGCAAATCTGAAATGGTTACATGTACAATAATATATGAAAAAGAGAAAAAGGCAAGTTCAAGCACATTCAAACCTATAACACCAGTGATTAACAGAGGAAGCAATTTAAGGGTGTAACCTACTTCTTATGATTCCTGTTATTTACCGTGGTATATAAGCTATATTAGCTTTATTTACCCTTTCCTCTAAATGTTCTTCTTCAAATAAAAAAAATTGGACTGTCTCAGAACTGCTTTCCCAATTCAGTGACCTTTTTCATTCCAGTGACAGTAAAACCACTTCTCAGGCTGAGGGTTGGGAGCAAACCAGCTTTTTGCACACATTATTTCATCTAATCCTTACATTAAACTCATGAGGTCAATGTTATAGCCCCCATGCTACAGAGGGAAAAAACTCAGGGATCAAGAAGATTCAAGAACTTGCCAGACGTATGGCTAGTAAGTAGTGGAAGCCGGCTGGACACTTAGCACTGCCCTGATTTCACTTATTATTTCTTCCAACTCTTTGGCAGCAGATGGTTTTCTAATATGAATTCTTTACCCCATTAATGTTATGAAACTAATAAGACCATATTTTAAGTGGTTTACAATTCCTTATAGCTAGAATCTGGCTAAATGTTTAATAGGTGCATAAGGTAAAGTGTAGCTTTGTCATTCAATAATATATATAACTATTTATATGATTATTTAAGCCATGATAGAATTCATATTCCTAAAAACTTGAGGCTCAGCACCTGTGGCTCAAGTGGCTAAGGCACCAGCCACATACACCTAAAGTGGCAGGTTCGAAT